ATCGCAATCGGCAATCGCCGTCGAGCTCAAGGAGATCTTCGGTATTTGCTCCAGCTTGAAGCAGCTACAAGACCACACCCTATGCGACCAGTCTTCCACAACGTTATAATGGTACATGATATGTTGAGGACCACGTTGGGCTCGAATCGTGCATGAAGTTCCCAATTCTTGTGATACGTATGTGTAGGAGACTATTATGAAGTTCGCTGATAGCATGGCATGTCATACTGTGTAGGCTCACCCATCTCGGGGTAACTCTCCCCTACAAAGCTCACATTCCTACTACTTATTTGAAGCAGCGTCAGGAGCTGTTCCCTAATCGTCCGTGCCCGTGGCAAGACCATATCGTACATCACGCGCTGCGACTCGTCCGCTGACACTTCTTTCTTGCTGTGCGACTGGCTTCCTGTCGGATACCCTAGGCCACTGATTAGTAGGTGCACCTCATGCTCACTCACTCAGCCTTCCGAGCTTCAGGCTTATTAAGTCCTTCAAAAGCGATTAGATTCATCAGATAAACTGCTAGAGTGCGGAGCTGGCAGTCTTAGTAGAGATGCGCGACGCATCCAACTAAAGCCTAAATGTCTCATATTCGCCTGCGAAGGCACTGTAGTACTGGAGTTAGTGGTCTTCATTGGGAACTATTACGGTGTTGGTGATTGACGAAAGAGCCTTCTCTGCATGCTGAACGCGCAGTGAGTACTCTTTCGAACACCAGAACTTCTGGATATGTTTACAGCTGTGATAACAGCCAGCTGACAATGCTAATGAGGCGTGCTGAAGCGGGCCTTCCGGTTCTTGGCTAGTGCAAGCGGCCGCCTTGAGCGAATCACACGCCTTGCTCAGCTATGCCGGTGCCCTTTCTCATTCAAAAAGTTGTCAGAAATCAAGAATTCAGAATGGAATAAGGGGGAAGAGGCCGCTACTGTAAGTAGAGAGGAATACTTGAAAATTTACAAAACGGTGAGTTCATAAAGTAACAGGAAAGGCGAAGTATCAACGAGAACCCCGATGACAGTGGTCACAGGAGAGCGAGAGAAAGGAATAAAGAAATGAAAGGGGGAGGGCAGAAATTCACACGACGTCAAAATGGGAGCTCTTCTCGTCTATTAAATCAGGGCTGTAACTCGCGATAATATGAGAGGATTCTATATTTGTCGACTGAATCAGTAGCAGTTACTAGTTACTCGAAATTATCTGCACACAAGTCAACAAATCCGACGATGACACTAATCGCCATTCGAAAAACAGCTGTAGAGGTAATTTGCATTACTAAAGAGTGTTAGATCCCTAGTGAGACCTGCTGTAGCTACTCAAGCCAAAATTCCCTTTGTGGCTGACATATGAGAATATCATAGACTGATGAATAACTGAATGAAAGTGCATGCCAATGTACCCCACCAACGCATGATTCTGAGTCCAATTTCCGCTGCTTGATGACAGGCTTCTTTTTTTCCTTTTTTTATCGCGCTTGTTAGTCATCGTGCTTATGAGTGGAATTTTCCCTTCAAAATGTTTCGCTCTCAATATCCAGAGTCGAAGTATAAAAAGCTAATAATGGCACGCGATGTAGTATGAAATTCTGTTGCCATTTACTCCTTTCTGGCATATGCCATGCTTCCGGAAACCACCCAAGGTTGTAGAGATGGTTGAAAGCTTATATGGCTTCCATAATCATTACTTTTTTAATTTTTATTTGGCTCACATTTTGGCGATCGATAACAATGTGGTAGTGAGGTAGTAAGATCATGGTAACGTGATTGATAGCAGAAGCTTCCACCTCGTCTCGAGAGATTGCGCATAACTTACAGTTGGGTTTACCGGCAGGGTCGACCGTCCGCGCAGTTCTCAACGAGGGTATTTGAGTTATTTTTGGAGCAAAGTCGTCCTTCGATGTTTTTTGCTGGCGACCTCGAAAGGGGAGCATGAAAAGATGAAAATTGGAGGCTCGCCAGCTCTTCGTATGAACTACCCTACCCCTCTCCTCTGCTCGACGGTCGCTTTCGGGAAAAGTGGGCGGAATTGGGCTGTATCGGCTGGTCTCCAGAATCAAATACTGTAGAAACAGTCATGATGCTGAGGGTGGTGATCGGGGATTGGGACATGGAGTCGTGTCGGGGACTCCTCTAACAGTGAAGGTGATTTTGGTGGTAGGGAGTCGTCAAATTTTCGGAATTGGATAAACACACGGTTGAGCCTCGTTACTGGTTATCAAGACTGGCATGACTCTGTGAAAGATAATTGATGACACATCACATAGAGTCTAACCGAAGATCACTGAAGTGGGTAGCACTTATTAAGTATCAATATTCGAAGAAATCATGCTTAGTAATTACTGTGAAATGGAAGCCATGACGTGAACACGGTTGATGCTCTCTCAAAATGCAATCCACTAAGCGATGCTATTGGAATCATTCACGGCGACCAGCTCCACATACAACCTAATTAGAGCACGTAATTAATTATAGATATGCGTAATAGATAGCGCCAAATGAGCAAACGGGCACTGGATATGAAATATTTGATCACTTGAATAGAATTCTTGGGGTGCGTCAACCACCTGGATCGGATTACTCTGGCATTATAGGATAACAATTGTCTGCTAGCTATTGCAGTCGATCAGAGTTCAGCCGCAGCAACATAGCAACCGGCGCAGAATTTCAAAAGACTTCCGAAGGAAATCCTCAGAGGCGCAGGCACTTTTGAAGGCACTTCCCGGTCAAATTGGTGCAATTGTTTCGCCGAAAACGCCACCATAGTGAAAGTAAGCCACCATTGAAAGAAAAGGGGGAAACCGCCGAAAACAGAAGGTAAAATGATTTCTCTTTTCACAGTTAGTTGAGTTGGCATGCAGCCTGGAGATATTGTCTGCCTGGGC